TACATAGATATTTAGGTAGCCAAAAGGCTGTTTAAGTTAAAACTATAAATTGCCTACCAAACATTCCTTCTTCCCTTCTTAAAAGAAATTCTTCCTTAGTTAAAGAATCCTAACTTTCAGCTGGTGCCATTGCTACATGGATTTCTCAGCTTCCCTAGCAGCTGGATGGCCATATGCCACCATCCTGGCCAATGAGATGCAAATTCAAATGCTGTGTGGTTCTCTGGGAAAGCTGCATCAGCTGGAGGAAGTTGCTTTTGTTGCCCTTCCCCACTGCCTGCAAAAGTCATCTTGGACACTGAGACTGAAGTAAAACTTGAGGATGAAAACCATGCACTGAGGAGAGCAGAGCAGAAAGTCAGACACCTAGACATCACCTATTTCCAGGTTTCTTTTATGTAAAAGGCAAAAACTATTCAGTTTAAACCACTGTTATCTTTGGTTTTTCTGTTACATGTAGCAAAACCTGATCTTAAATGATGGAGTTTAAAGCAAAAATATGAATGAAAAATGACCTGAACTGATACAGCAAAAGCTATTCAGTAGAAGAATTTATCACAGGTAAGGTTGCTGAAAGTAGAAAAAGGTTTCTAAGAAACACCAAGGAATACTATGGTCTTCTCAGGAGAAGAATTATCAATATCAAAGAGACATTTATTGAGCTAGGGTATGATAAGCACCCATAAAAGAGTATCTTTATGAGTAAGTGAGAGCAATTTATTCTAAAAGCAATGGATGGAGCTTCTCACTTAAATAGTTACTGACAGTTTGATTAAATTACGGGCATAAGGCCACTTATTTAAATCACTAAGAAGAACTAAATCACTAAAGAAAGAAAAAAGAAGGGAGGTATGAAAATGAGAACAGATACTGAGTTTGTTTCCTTCCTGGTTCTGGTAGACTTCAATCTTTAACTATTTGGGTCCAAAAAAAAAGTTCTCATTTAAAAAGTATCGTCCTTTATTCCATATATGCTTTAAAATATTTATTGGGCAGAGAAAAAGGAAGGGAGGTAAAAAGATGACACAGATGATGACTTAAGAGTTTTCTTCTAAGTTCTGGTGGACTTCGGACTTTAAATGTCTGTTCAAAAAAAAACATGCAAACATGCTCTCATTTTAAAGGTATTTTCTTTTATTCTAATATTCTTTTATATAGAGAGAGATATATTGAGTCCTTGTTTTTTAAATATGCTTAGTTAATCATAGATTACAATTAAAAAGCATGTCCTCTAATAATATTATTAATAGATTAGGAAGAATTACTAATAATATTAAAATAAATCATTTTTAAACTAATAATAACTTGGGGGTGGAGGGTATAGTTCAGTGGTAGAGTGCATTCTTAGCATGCACAAGGTCCTGGGTTCAATCCCCAGTACCTCCATTTAAAATAATAATAATAACAATAAAACAAATCATTTTACCATAAATCTGGCTATCAAACTATATAGCTTTTGAAATGTGCTGATGCATAAAAAATTTTAGTGGCTTTTTCATTTTTCTGTAATACAAGTTGTTCTGTTTCTACAAGTATATAGAAAATAGCACAGATGTTAATGATTTGAAATTATACTTCTAATAAATGTGAATTTCTATTTGTTCAATTTTTTATTTCCTTAAACAAACAAAGAAATTAAACAAAATTACATACGTGGTTGGATCTTTGATTCTCCACCAGGCACTGATGGGGAAATTCCTTGTAATTTTTTTTGTTCCATCTGCTGTACAACCTAGTGAATGGAAAAAGACTGTCTCAAAAGTAAGAATTATTTGATTTTCTCTGATATGTTTGACCTTTGACAAAGCATAACAAATTGACTGAAAATTGTTTTCCAAAATGGGATATTCAAATTCTAAAATTTAGAGTAATATTCAACAATGCAGTTTAAAAAAATACTAAAATTTAAAATTCTATAGAGACTAGTACATTGAAATATTATACTACAAAAACACAGGGCTTTCAGCAAAGCCCCTAAAATCCTTTTTAATGCCACAAGCCTTTTACAAAACACCACCTGATGATATTCCAGCTTCTGAGCCTCAAGTTGTTCATGCTGACGTTGCAGCTCTTCTTTCTGTTTCTGAAGTTCATCTGCCTTTTTCTTCAGTTCAATTTCTTGCACGGAGATAAGATTTTCATATTCTTTCAGTTCTTCTTCTGTGAAGAACTGTTGCTGATCCAATGTCTAAAAGAAAAAAATGAGAAAAGAATAACCTTAGAAATAAAACAAGAAGGTCTGATTCAGCCTTAAAATTCTATGATTAGCAAAGTACAAAAGTGTCTGTAGTTTTTAGAAATATCAGTGCTATGAGATACAAAGACTCAGGAACTGTTTCAGGTTAAAGGAGGTTAGAAAGACATTACAACTAACTCCAATGCAAGATCTTGGAATTTCTTTTGCTATAAAGGACAATACTGGGAACACTGACAAAAATCTCAATAAAGTCTACAGATTAGAGAATAGTATTGTGTGTGTAGCACTGATTATTTTACTGTGATTATGTATGATAAATCCTTGTTTGCAAAAAATACGCACTCCAGTATTTAAGGTTAAAGCAGCAGCATCTGCAACTTACACTCAAAAATAACGATATATGTTATATACAGATACACACACAGAAAGAGATGAAAAATGTAGAAAGAGAGAAAAGGAGCAGGAGAAAGCAAATGTAGTAAAATGGGAATCTGGGTCAAAGGTATTCAGGAATTCCTTGTTTATTCTTGCAAGTTTTTGTGTGTGTAAATCTGAAATTACGTCAAAGTGAAAAAGGTATATAATTATCTATTGATCCCATTCACGAGAAGCACTAAAGAGAATTCATGTTCAAATAATCATAGCATTCTTCTTCACCAATGTCCAGAAATATATTAAATGTTAGACAAAAACTTACAACAAAAAAGCTGATTTATTTAACCTCAAACTAAAATGACCAACTCTCCCAATTTGTCCAAGACTGACCCAGTTTTAGCACTGAAAAGTTCTACATCCTGGGAAACTCCTCAGTCCTAGGTAAACTATGACAGTTGAACATCCTATCTCAAACTGTTTTCTGGACAATTAAAAAGCTAATTAAAATAGTAATCTTTTATTTTATATTTATTTTATATTTTATATAGAAAAAGACAATGTTTCTTCTTCAATCTATTTGGGGTGGTACCTCTCAAGCATTCATTACAGGATGTCTATGCACTCATTTATATATAGCAAGTGATGGTATAAATTGGAACACCTTTCTGGAGCAATCTGACAGATATATTTAGAGACTAAAAAATGTTCAGAAACCTTGCAAATAGTTTTATTCCTAGGAATTAATCCCAGAGAAATCATCACAGATGCCCAAAAGTGCATGAACAAATGGGTAGTCATCATAGTGTTATTTATCAGAGTAAAAAAAAAATTGAGATTGACTCATAATGTCTAAATCTGGAAGAATGGCTATACAAATACATGATAACCACACAAGTATATGGTAAGTGGTTATTTTTTAAATTGTGATTTTGAGAAATGGCATTGGAAAATGTTCATGAAATATTGCTGAATTAAAAAAACAGAATTTCACAAACAAAAAATCATTTATATAGTATGAAGCCGTTTAAAAATATACGGATATAAATTTACGTGTATATGTAAATTAAAAATGGGACAGTACACTATTTATACACTATATGCTATATATGCATATACTAAATATACAATTCCCAAATTGTCGTTACAAAATGCATAATTTAAGTGTCTACCTCTGGCTGGTAGAGTTACAGGTAACTTCTAACTCATTCTTTAAATACATGATATTTCTAATTTTCAAAACTGAACATTATTTTACAGTTTTAAAAAGACTCCTAATCATACGCAATGTGATTATCAATAGAGATCAATTGCCACAGCTTTCCAAGAAATCAAGTTTTTATTTTATGGTGACATTTTATATGAAAAGCCAAGTTGGTAAGACTATACATGCAAACATAATGGGGAATAAAGGTTAAAGTTAGAATAGACTGATGCAGAATTTCTTGAACCGTACAACCAATTTCAAGTGGGTTTTATTACCTCCCAGCTATCCGGCTCCAAGAATTCCTTTTTTTCTGTAGCTTTCAAAAACTCTTCTAAAGTCACCAATCGGTCTTTGTTAGTATCAACCTGATTAAAGAAAAATGTGTATGTTGAATAAAATAACTCTTTTTCATTATTTAGACACTAGAAATTCTTCTAAAAGATGCTGTTACATAAGCTTACAGCAATTAGGGCTAGCCTAACATCCATAGAAAATGAGGGGAAAAAAACTGAAACAGAACTCTCAATATTATTCTAGAATCAGAAAATATCTTTCTCTTCTATATAATTCAATTTTGAAAATACCCGATACTCCCAAAGATCACCAACTTTAAGTCTGCTGATCTGACTAGCTAGGCTAGAATTATCTTCCTTCCTCACCACACCATGTATAATTCCTCTTGAAGCCAAGTGGTTGAGCAAGAGACATAACCTTTCCAGGAGGAGGGCTGTTTTGGCCAAGAGAAAGGAGTTTAAGTTAAAATGCACTCAACATTTTTACCTAAAAACAAACAACTAACTATAAATCAAAACTACAGTTGACAACATTTCCAAATCCTCTTCAATGACTCTTCAAGTTCAGTTACAAAAGTGAACTTGAATAAATTCATTAGTTACTTGGGATACCAGCAGTCAACAGAAATCCCAATTCACCACGAATAGCTCAAATATCAGGTGAAAATCAGTGAAGCAGAACAGTGGGCTTAAGTTACCCTGCCTATGATATCTATTACAGATTTTTCAGCTTAATAATGTGAACAAGAAATAAATATTTGTTGCTATAAACCATTAAAGTATTGAGGTTTTGAATTTCTTAGCAAAAACTAATACAGCATTTAAAATATCAAATAATGGCTACTTTATTTTTTACTTCTAAAAGAATGTTTTACAGCATTATTTCACGTACATTTTTTAAAATCATGATTTTGAGAAATAGCATTGGAAATGCCATTGGAAAAGCATCCTAATCTTTTTAAATATTTTAAAGTAGTTACAAATAATTTTATTTACATTAAGGGAATCTACTGACTATTCTGGATCAAAAGTGCAAAACCCAATTAAATACCTAGTCTATATATTTATTTTCCACTTTATGGTAAGATTTATTGCAAGAACTTGAATAATCCATAGAAGTAACAGATAAACTTTAAAAACATACCTCATTCATTACATGTTCCCTCATTCTAAGCCTTTCTTCCTCCATTTCTACCATATCATCCTCTTCATTTTTGGGGTCGTATACTTTCTCCAACTAAAAAGAAAAGAAAATTTTAAAACCAACATAAAGGAAAGGAAGATTATAGAAAGGAAATAGAGGAAAAGCATTGAATAATGAGTTCATTTACCTCTTTAGTAAATAGGGCTTCTAATTCTTGTTCATCTAGGAAGCCATCACTATTGACATCTAAAGTTTAAAAGTTATAAATGCAAAAACTGAATTTAATACCTTAGAAAATAGATAATTAAAATATAACTAATTATAAATGGTTTACAGAAGTATTACAAGAAGTATCAACATGTTACAGAAAAAGGCTTCTTTCTTTTTTATGAAGCCTCAAATCAGTCCAACTGATAACAATTCACTTATTCATAATTCATAACAGTTTTTAAGAAAAATGTGTATCTTAACCAATTTTTTCCAAGAAATATAAAGTAAAACAATATGCTATAAGATTAAAAGTAAATTTTAATCTTATAGCATAAAGTCTGTTAGATATAACCTAGCTAGTCACTGAAATACCTTCATTTGACAGAGATATTTGTTATAAGTCATATAATGACTAAAAGTAACAGCAGGTATAAAGACACTGCTTCGGACCTAAAATATTTTATACTGTAGACCAGCAAGAAAAACTATTATACTACCCTAGAGAAAAACTCTATAAACATTTACCATCAATAAGACTCAATTAGCAAAGCTTGGCAGAAATCAATTAAGAGTAAAGCATCTATAATTTGTCAAACAGAAGAAATAGATATTAATATTTATATCAAATCTGTCACCATGTAATTTGAAAAATGTCTTGGGGTCAAAGTCATTAGGATCCAATCCATCAGCCTCTTCCCACACCTCTTTTAGTTGATCTTTGCTTCCCTGTGAGTCAATTAAAAAAAAAAAATCAAAACAAACTATAAGCTATGTAAATTGACTTAAAATAAAATATAAAATTGAGAAACTTCATAGAATTAAAAATCAAGATATTAAGCTTATAATTAATAACCTATTATAAAATTCTATTGTCTGGTACAAAGAAGTATCTTCATCTAATTACGGTTTTTTTAAGTCATAATTCTTACTGGATGATTAACTTTGGGATGATTTTCATGCTTTTTCTTCATTTCTTCAAATTTAGATTCTTCTTCTTTTCTCTTTTCTTCATTTAGTGTTTTTAAATATTCTCTCCTTTCATGTTCCTTCATCATTTCATATTTTTTAAATTCTTCATGTCGAGCCTTATCATAGTGTTCCAGATCACTTGTAGCCTATAATGCAATATTTAAACTAAATAAGATGTGCTTGAAAAATATAAATAAAGGCTTTCTTGCATATTGCATACTCTCTAACAGAAGGTAGTATGAGGGGGCTGAAAAATTCTTGTCTCCTGTGTTAAATTCTACCCTTTCACTTTAGTCATTATCATTACTAGTGATGTAGGCAATCAAAGAAACTAAAAGTTCAAGGCTAGCTTCAACTTTAGGAAGTTCCTCATAAGCAAATAACATATAAATTTATTTTAAAAAGAAGAAAAAGGAAGGGATTGTATCAAATCTGTACAGGGTGGAAAACTAGAATGGTTTCTAACCAATTAAATAAATCTAATAACACCCACACTAGAACATCCTAGTTTGCTAACTTCCTACAGTACAACATGAGAGTCTACAAATTATTATCTAAAATTCCTAAGAAATTTAGGAATGTGTTTCAGAACTTTCTAGATTTCAGAAAGGACATATGGTATATACGCCATATTATGTAACAGCCCTGAAGAGTCTGTAATCAAACAGATTAGTACTTCCTTATCAGCAATCTCACTCCTGAGCATATATCCAGAGGGGACTTTAATTCAAAAAGATACATGCACCCAAATGTTCACACCAGCACTGTTTACAATAGCCAAGACATGGAAACAACCTAAATGTCCATTGACAGATGAATGGATAAAGAAGTTGTGGTATATTTATACAATGGAATACTATTCAGCCATAAAAAATTAAAAATGCTATTTGCAGCAACATGGATGGACTTGGAGACTGTCATTCTAAATAAAGTAAGCCAGAAAGCAAAAGAAAAATACTATATGATAGTACTTAAATGTGGAATCTAAAAAAAAAGACAAATGAACTTATTTACATAACAGAAACAGACTCATAGACATAGAGAACAAACTTATGGTTACCAGGGGAAGTGGGGTGGGAAGGGATAAATTGGGAGTTCAAGATTTGCAGATACTAACTACTGTATTTAAAATAGATTAACAACAAGTTTATACTGTATAGCACAGGGAACTATATTCAATATCTTGTAGTAACCTATAATGAAAAAGAATATGAAAATGAATATACGTATGTACATGTATGACTATTACACTGTATATCAGAAATTGACAAAACTGTAAACTGACTATATTTCAATTTAAAAAACTATGAATACTCACAGTAAGTAAGCTAAGTAAAAACTATAAATAGCCTTATTGTAATTCAAGCCAGGTTTTTGTTTTTACAGTGTTTTGGATTTTGGAGTTGTCAGTAAGGGATTACAGACCTGTATGTCCACATTGCTATCTGTACTAATAAAGGTTAAGCTATCTCCCTTTAAAGACATTCTAGAGTGTATATAACAGTTATGCTATCACTTCATAGAATTTACTTGTCAAATTACAAAACCTCAAGGGCATGACAAAGACAACATATTTTAGAATTATTCTCACCGCTTTGATTAACATATCTAAATCTGTAGATTCAAACTTGTCAGGATTCAGGTGGTTTAGGTGATCAAATTGTTTTAGAAGAGCATGGTGGTCTATGCCTGTATCTGAAAGGAAATGAGAAAACTGTCAATGATAAATTACTAGAAGTTAGAAACATTAATATAAATGATATATAAGAATAAGTATTTATATTTATCCCTATAGGATTTTATAAGAAAATTCAAAGTTTTAGTTTAAGAGTTCATAATTTCTTTTAGACTACTATACATATTGTTATTCTAGGCAAAGGTAATGTCTCTGAATTCTAAAATGGAATACAATTTAATATGTACATTTTAATGTTATTTCTAGAGAAACTAGTTGACTATTACTATAATTTACAGTAAAAACTGTTTCATTATTGTAAAATTACCAAGTTTTCTACTTTTAATTAGATAAACTCTAATATATTGCCCTCATCAAAGATCTAAGTAGAATTTCTGAAAGAAATTGCTCTAAAATTTGCATGAAGAAACTCTTTGCATGCTGCTCTAATAAGTCCTTACGGAACAATAAAAATTTAATTCAGTAAATTCATTTGATTATGATTTATCTTTAAAAAAAGTTGTTTTCTTTGTAAAGAACTTTAAAGAAGCAAGCTACAGTGTGCTATTGTTGAATGGGTGAAGCAATTCTGGACTATTTCAGTTGTATTATAGACGAGCAAAATACGTATATGTTGATTTGTTAGGAGTCAGGGTTCTCACTTAGGAGAAAGGGATATACAAACATGGAAATGGAGGGAGGCAAGAAAGAAATTTGTGGAAATGGATGGGAATTAGTATTATCTGTGTGAACTTATTATTTCTAATATATAATACACACACACACATAGATGTATGTTTCACATGTACATGCATGTGTGTACAAGTGTGTGCATATGTGTATGTATGTAAATGTATGTGTGTACAAACATGCATATATTTCCTACCTCTGTCCTATGCAGGTGTCTAGAAGAAAATATTTTCCAGAAGCATTGAGCACACCAAGTGCCAGCCCTTGGTCTGTAATATGATTTCCCACTAAAAAGAACCAGGAATCCTCAGAGAAATGGCTGATTCCAGGGCTGGGGCAGGATACAAGGTACAAGATGAGCCTGGAACATGTTGTTATGCCAGAAAGTAAGAAACTGCTAAATTAGTTCAACTAAGCTTTCACTGAATTCCTAGTATGGCACTGTACTAGGAGTTTTACTTGCAAGGAAAAGATTTGTTATGAGACCTAGCCCTAAAGAATATTATCAGTCAGTGAAATACATGAAAAGATGCTTAGCCTCACTCAAAATAGGAGAAATACATATTAAAATTGCACAATTATACCATCTAACAGAATGGCAAAACTCCTAAAGTTTTGCCATTTCTCATAGCAAGGCTATGAGAAATTTACTGCTGGTGGGAATGTGTATTGATGAACCTCGGTGGAGGTGGCAGTATCTATTAAAATTACAAATGCATATACCTTTTGGCTTAGCAGTTTCACAGTGGAGAACTTATCCTACAGATAATCTTACATGGATACATGGTGGTATGTGTACAAGAGTGTTCACTAGAAATTACCCAAATATCCATCAACAGGGGTCTGGTTAGGTGGGTAGGATATAGCTCAAGTGGTAGAGCACATGCTTAGCAGCACAAGGTCCTGGTTTCGATCCCCAGTACCTCCTCTAAAGATAAATAAACAAACCTAATTACCCTCCCCTCAAAAAAGGTTAAAACAATTTTTAAAAAAACAGGGGTCTGGTTAAATAAATTATGTTATATCCATATAATGGAAATCTATACAGCTGTTAAAAAAGAAGAAGAAAATGAAGAAGATGGTCTCTGTATTAATACAGAAAGATCTCCAAAATATAGTAGTAAAGGAAAAATACAAGGAACAAAATGTCTATTGCATGTACCTTTTGTATAAAAAGAGAGGAAAAATGAGCACTTTTATTTGTATTTGTTTATATATGAATAAAGAAACTCAAGAAGGATGGTGTTGGGGGCAGTGGGAACTGATAGGGTACAAAAATACCGGGGGGCTTTTTTGTTATATACCTTCTTACACTTGTTTTAAACTATGTGAATGTATTGTCTTGTTTAAAAATTATACCATCTGAAAAAAAATTAAGACCCTGTAAGCCCTTCTTCAAATTGTCAGAAATTTTAATTCATAAATTTTGAATCAATAAGAAAGTATTCATAAGTTTTCTAAGCATATTACAGTTTTCTTTAGGTAATGAAATTCAGTCTCTGTCTTGGAATAAAGGAAATATTGCCAAGGTTAAGGGGATGGAAGTTGTGTAAAGGGAAAGAAATTTCTAACCACCTTAGGTCTGGCTTCAAGGATCGAATTACCTTGTGTGTCTGACCACTTGATGTAGGATGGTATGAGTTAATTTACCTCTCATTGATATCCTTAGTTTCAGGATAATGAGTATTTGGTACATGTTTTCTAAGTCTATTCACCAGCAGAGGGTTTAACGCTCTACACAGTTTCTCCAATATGATCCACTGACCAGAGGTACATGTTTAAAATGCAGATTACTCATCTCCAGAATCAGAATATCTGGAGGTGAGATCCAGTCATCCCTATTTTAAACTAGCTCTCCAGGTGATTCTTATGCAACTGAAAGTTTAAGAACTGCTATTCCACCCTGAGTAAATGTTCAGATATTTATTTATTGATGACAATGAACCACCCAGATGACCAACCTACAGGGGCATGTCACAAGGACACAGAAGCCAGCTTGAAAAGTCTCTCATTTGCCAAATTTGGCCCCTTGATTTTGATTCATAATTAGAAAATCCATTCTAAGACAATAAAGGAATTCAGTTATGTTGTCAACTGTTGCTTTTATGGTTTTATTTTTACATTTAAATCTTTATTTATCTAAGCACCAACCTGATGTATATGAGATATGAATCTAACTGTATGTACCTTTTTCCAAATGGCTATCCAACTGTATTAAGACCACTTATTTTAAAAATATTATCTATCCCACCAATAATAAGGTACCACCTTTAACTCAAACTAAATTCCATATGTATTTAATTATATTTCTGGAATTTATATTCTGTTCCACTGGTCTCTCTATTTATGTGCCAAAACCATAGAGTTCCAGTGAGTGAGGCTTAGTGATACATTTTAATATCTAATACATCTAGTCCTTTACTATTCTTTTTTTTTCAGAGGTATGTCACTTTTCTTGCCTGTTTCCCTCTTCATGTGGACTTTAAAATTAACATGACTAGTACCAGGGGGAAAAAGTACATCTTTTTATTTGGATCATGTTAAATTTACAAATTAACAAAAGGGAGAACTGACATGTTTGTAACGTTGAGTCTCTGTATCAAAAAGATGTTATGTCTTCCCATTTTTTTCAAGTCTAGTTTTGTGTCCTTCAGGAGTATTTTAAAGTTTTTCTCTGTAAGTCTTGCACATTTCTGAATAGGTTTATTCTGGGCATTTTATCTTTGTTGGTATTGTAAATGGAATCTTTTCTTCCATTATATCTTCTAACTGGCTGTTGTTGGGACATATGAAAAATACTAATTTCTGTATATTATCTACCTTGCTGATTTTGCTGTTGTATATACTAAGTTTTTCAACAAGTTACTTTGGGTTTCTCAAGTGTATACTTTCCAGTGTTATAATTATATCATCAGCAAATACAGATGGTTTTAGCACCTACTTTCTAATTATTTTACCTCCAATTTTTTCATTTGCATAATTGTTTCGGCTAGTACCTCTAGTATTAATTCGTAGAGATGACAGCAAGCATCTTTGTTTTGTTCCCGATTTTAGTTAGAATACATATTTGTGTTTCCCTAATAAGTATGTGTAGCTGAGTTGGACATATCTAATCATGATACAGAAGTATCTATTGATTATTATTTTATTACTTTTTTAAAATTAAGAAGACATGTTAAATTTTGTCAAATGCCTTTTCTGGATATATGGAGATGATCATATGAACTATGAGATCACTTTCTTTAGGATATTTTCTCATTTCAAAAACTCTGCTTCATAGCTATTTAATCTTCTCATAGTCTAAAACTGAAAGAATGGAGCAGGGGATGAATAGGCAGAGCAGAGAGGATTTTTAGGACAGTGAAACTACTCTGTATGATACTATAATGATAGATGCATGTCATTATAAATTTGTCTAAACCCACAGAATGTACAACATCAAAAGTGAACTCTAATATAAACTATGGATTTGGGGTGATTTTGATGTGTCAGTGTAGGTTCAGTTATAACAAATGTACCACTCTGGTGGGAGATGTTGGTGTTGGGGAAGGCTGTGAATGTTTGGGAACAGGTGATGTATGGGAAATCTCTGTACCTTCCCCTCAATCTTACTGTGAACCTTATATTGCTCTAAATTTTTTTCTTAATTTAAAAATACACAAATTTCAAAGATTGATTCCAATTTATTACTTGTCTTTTGACTTTACGATCTCTTTTGTCACAACAGAATTTTTTTCTTCTTATATCTATTCATATGATAACTTATAGTATTAGACTTCCTAAAACTAAGTCAATATTGCATTCCTGAAATAAATACACTTGCTATGATAGAGTATTCTTTTATTGTTCAACAATTTTGGTTTTGGCATCAATTTACAACAAGAGTGTGGAAGTTTCCTTCTTCATCTATGCTCTGGAGTACTTTAAATAGCACTGACAATCGGCTTTTTAATTTTTTGATGGAATTCCCTTTGACACTGTCTGAACCTAGTGTTTATGAGGCGCTAGCTCGAACAATGTTTCTATTTAATCTGTGGAAACTGTTCTAATCGAATTTTCTCTCTGTTTCCTTTTGGTTTGCTTTGATGTTATTTTTCCTTTTTTAAATCAGTAGGTTAATTCATTACTTTTCATTCTTCGTTTTTATTGATATAATTACTTAAGGCTAATCATTTTGATTTTTGAATGATGTGACTATATAACCTATTTTAAAAATTAAATTTTAAAAAATTAAGAGAAGCCATATCAATACTAGCATTAAATTTTGACTAGAGGAACATAGTAAACTGACCTCAAAAACCACATATTGAAATTTTCCTACCTTTTCTTTAGCACTTACCTTGAAGGGAATCCAATTTCGCTTTAATCAGCATTCTCAACCTTGCCACTTCTTGCCTTTTCAGTTCATCAAGTTTTGTCCTCACATGGTGACTCACTAAATCCAGCTCTTTGCTTAGCCTCCCACTCTGTTAACAAAATTAATAAATTAATTTTATCTATTCTACTGCATATTTAGACAAGACACAGTATATTTAAAGTAGGGTTATAATAAAGTAGTGTTAAATACTTTTGACTAATTTAGATAAATTTGATATTACAAACAGCATTTCTTTCAGAAGATATTCAGTTTGTAACTCTAAAATCAAGATGTCTAAAAGCCTTATAATTTAGAAAAGCATAATTAAAGCACAAAGAAGAAACTCAAAGGGTAACTTAAATTCTAAAATGATGCAACCACTTTGGAAGACAATTTGCAATTCCTCAAATAGTAGAACATGGAGTTACCACATGACCCTGCAATTCCATTCCTAGGTGTAGACCTAAAAGAGTTGAAACATATGTTCACATAAAGTCTTGTATACGAATGTTCATAGCAGCATTATTCATACTAGCCAAAAAAAGGAGAAATAACCCAAATGTCCATCAACTGATGAATTGATAAAATATGGAATAGCCATACTGCAGAATATTATTTAGCCATTAAAAGAAGTGGACATACTGATACATGCTACAACATGATGAACATTAAAAAATATTAAGTCAAAGAAGCCAGGCACAAAAGGCCATATTTTGTACGACTCCATTTATATGAAATGTCCAGAACAGACAAATCCATAGAGATAGAAAGTAGCTTAATGGTTGCCAGGGGCTGAGGAGAGAGAAGAAAGGGGGAATGATTGCTTAGTGGCTATAGGGTTTCTTTGGCAGGGAAATTAAACTTCTCTAAAATTAGATCGTGGTGATGGTTAAAACAACTTGGCCTCCTTAATAGTCTTTCCATGTATAAATAGCTTTTCAGAATTCATCTTTCTTAGCTTGTCTCCTTTGATTACTTTTTTCACAGATGAGTAATCAGATACACGTTTCAAAATTTAAGAAACAAAACAGCCAGTGGTTTACTTTCTCTTGTTTATAAATTCACCTACCATCACAAACTGCAAATCTAACTAGCAATCAGGCACACAAATCCTTCAGGACTGAGTCAAGGGGGCCTGCTGAGGAAGGGAAGGAAGAGAAATCCCATAAAGGACACCAAGAGAGAATGTTCAGCAAGGGAGAAGGAGAGCTGGGAGAATATGCAGAAGCAAAAAGAGCAGTGCAATTTCAAGGAGCAAATGGTCATTACAAAACAATGGTTCTCAAGTGTGGTCCCCAGGTGGAGGCAGCAGTATCACCTGGGAACTTCAGAAATGCAGGTCCTAGACTTACTGTATCAGAAAGTCTGCAGAAAGGGCCCAGAAGTCTGTTCTAATAATTTAAAATCTGAGAACCACTGAGATAAAATAAAGGAGTCCAGGAAGAAGAGAAATAAAAAGTGCTCACTAGATTCAGCAATTAAGAAGTCACTGACACCATTCACAAAAGTACATTCAGGGGGAGGGTAT